AGTTATTAACAATTTTTGACAGTCGTGCACTTGTTACAATTGTCCCCACTTACGGGGTCAATTGTAACAGTTCATAAATTCAACTAAAACATAGTTAATTATACATATTATCATAGTTGTGATATATTTTTTTATTGATCAAAGTAGTAGTGATATTTTAGGTGTAAAAATAATAATGAGCAGAGACCTAAAGGGTTAAACTTTTGACTTTAAGGGGTTAGAAATTTTAATTTATGCAGTGAAAGGTGACAAATAAAGTAATGCACATGCAGCATAATATAAATGAAAAAGGAAACTATTGGTGGTTCTTAAGGAGTTAAGTAATGGTTTGTAAACATAAGATTATTTATTTTCAGCTGTTACAATTGTCCCTTTACTTATTGCTACAATCGTCCCCAAGACGCCATTTCAGCGTCATTTGTTAAAAACAATGCTAGTTAATTAACAAAACTAATCTTTTTTTTTGAAATGTTCATTAAGGTGTCCACTTACATATTCGGTTAATAATTCCTATTTGTTTAAACAAAATTACTTTGTTGCAATGTAATATTCTAATACCAAAAAAAGTACTTACGTAGCGTGAAAATATCTTTTGTGATGTAACTCTTTGAAAAGTACATAAAAATGGTTGCCAGCAGGGGTCTACATGTAGATTTATTAAATACGCCTTGTGTGCCACCTAGGAACCAAATCTGGAATTCTTTTTTTGATCATTATGTAATAGAATAATAAAAAATAATAAATATTTAGTAAAAGTTATTTTTGTATGAAATTATCTTTGGATATTTGAATTTTATAGTTGCGGGGTAAAATTTTTCAGTTCACTTTAAAAGTTCTCGAGATATGAAGAAATACGCAGAAAATAAAATTAGTATTTATGGGTCCAAACTTTGGACTGCTCATCTGAAGAAATTATGGGGACCACATATACCAGATTGGGGCTACTCAGGGGTCAGAAAGCCGACTCTGTTAAAAAGAATGGTATGTTTATTCAGAGAAGTACGTTTTGTGTCTGATTTCATTACTTAAAATATCGCCTGCACTAATTAATTAGCATATTTGGGGTCACTCTCTTGAACCATTAAAATTGAATCGTAGAATCGTAAAATTGAATCGTTAAAACGAAAAGGTACAGAGAGGTACGCTGGAATCAAAATAAAATTAACACTATAACTGATTTGCGAATTATTAATGTTCAACTTGCAGTAAAAATAAAATGTGGGTTACTTTGCAGACCGCAGGAAGGAATTTTTAGACTTCACACGAGCTTTTATCGTAATTCCAATTTGCTCGAAAGTTTATGCAATTTTAAATGCGTTTTCGCTAATTTTTTTCACTATTTTTGCTTTACATTTCATTTTGTTTCGCTTACGTTAGCACTATAACTAATTCGTGAATTATTAATGTTCAACTTGCAGTAAAAATAAAATGTGGGTTACTTTGCAGACCGCAGGAAGGCAACTTTAGACTTAACACGAGCTTTTTTCGTAATTCCAATTAGTTCGAAAGTTTATGCAATTTTGAATGCGTTTTTGCTAATTTTCTTCCCTATTTTTGTTTTGCAGCCTAAAAACTATAAGACTCAGAAATGTTGATGTGTTAGAAAATGTATGGTGCACAAAAAAATGATAATAAAAAAAATAAAAAAATTAAATGAAACACCCTGAATTACTTTTACTCGTATTTTCTTGCACAAGGACTAAATCTCAATAGCTCGAGAGGGGATCTCAAATAAGGTAATTAATTTTTACAGACGATATTTCAAAATAAGAAATTAGAAACAAAAACGCACTTTCTCAGAAAGATCACCGAAGTCAAGCAACACTGGCTGCGGTCAGTGTGCGGGTGGGTGACCACTTGGATCAGTCTGCGTAGGGACCGAGGGTGTGCGGTATCGGTCCTCGTTAAACTGTGCTACCCTAAAGTGCTCGACTTCGCGTGCAGGTAGTTAGGCTACCGAAGTGGGGGTGCCATCCCCCCTGCAGAGGATCAAAATTGTGATGGCATGTCTTCGGATCTTCCGCAGGGATGTTTCCCAGACCGTCGCCACTAGCCCATTGTGCAGCTCAAGTGCGACGTAAAATGAACTACAACAACAACCAAAGAAAAGTACATGCAAAAAACAATTTTATTACTTATTTATAATTTTTTATGTTATTTAAAAGTGATCGAAAAATTTATTAATATCAAGGTATACAATTTCTTATATAAATTTAAAGAACGTAATTTTAAATGGCAAAGTACAATATTTGAGCAAAATCGGTCGAAAAGTTCCTGAGAAATCGAATTTTAAGTATACGACTTTTTAAAATTCAATTTCTCTGGCTGACCGATTAAATGCACGACCGATTACGCTCAAATTCTGCCATTTAAAATTACATTCTTAAAAATTATGTGGAAAAAAATTGTATACCTAGAAATTTAAAGTTTTTCGACCATTATTAAATAAAATAATAAAAATAATAAATAATTATTAAAAATTATTTTCTGAATAGAATTATCTTTGGATAAATAAATTTTATATTTGAGGGTAAAAAATTTTCCAATTCACTTAAAAAGTTCTCAAGATCTAGCAAAATGCGCAAGAAGTAAATTGAACATCAAAAGGTTCAAACTTAGGGCTGCTCTCCTAACCAAACTATTGGAACCATATTTCTCCGATTGAGGCTAACCCCGTATTTTGTGTGTAAGAAATATTTATTAAAAAAAAGGTATAGTTATTCAGAGAAAGTACGTTTTTTTGTTTGATTTCGTAATTTAAAATATTGTCTGCAGAGCCTATTTGAGGTAGCCCAATCGAGCCAATAAAATTGAGTCTAAGTACTTGTTAATCCGATTATTAGATCAAAAGTTATTCCGGTTGACGTTTATTATTGTTATTTTTTAGCGCACTGTGCAAGAAGTGCGAATAAAAAAAATAGTTAAGATTCGACTTTTAGTTCGAGAATTATCAACTGTTAAATTCATTGAAAAAAATAAATACTGAAGCCTACTGAAATAAATCGACAGTTTTGAAATTTAACATGGTGAAAGGGTCATTCTCAGTTATAAACTTAAAGCAATTATTTTTTTTCTTTCTAAATTCGAATTTATCTGATAGTTTTCTATTTTGAGTACTTTTTTCGCGAATATTTTTTACTCTTTATTTACTTATGTTTTTGATTTAAGCCATTATACATTAATTTAAGTTATTGCACAAAAATATTTTTATCTCTTTCGAGATCTTCATTTTATAAGCTCACGCTTGACTTGACTTGAAGCACTTGTAGGCAATATAAGAAAGATTATCGTATTTATTGCTTCTTATTATATCACACACTTTGAATTCCTTAAAAATCGTTCACTTTGTAACGATTAACACATTAACAAAATGCTCTAATATAAAATTAAAATGATTATATATTTTATAAACAGAACAAACTTTTAAAAAAAATAATGAGTTTGGAAAGAAAAAAAAAAAAAGATGCACACACAGCAAATGATTATATATTTTATAAAAAGAGCGTACTTTTAAAAAAAAATATTGAGTTTGGAGGGGGAAAAATATAAAGATGCACACACAGCAAATGATTATATATTTTATAAACAGAACAAACTTTTAAAAAATATTGAGATTGGAAGGGGAAAAAAACAAAGATATATTCACAGCGAACCGTTGGTAAGCGGGCTTGAATGCTGAAAGGGTCATTTTTGGTTCAACACTTAACGCGGGCCACTTAGCGCGAGCTCTTTTGGAAATTGCAATTTTTTCGAAAGTTATTGCAATTTTACGTGCGTTTTGCAATTTTTTTGTTGTCCTTATTGTTACAGTTTGTTTTGCTTCGAAAAATGTATAAGACTTAGAAGCTATACAAACTACGAAGGTGTGTAGAAAAATGTGCTAGGAATTTAATGGAATTAAAGAAAATAGATTTTTAGTTTACCGAGTTCAAAAATTATCAACTGTTAAACTTGAAATAAAAAATAACATATTGGCCTATTTAATACCAGCAGAAATGCCATTACGGGGCTGAAATTTGATGTGTTGAAAGGGATATTTTCAATTATAATCCTAACTCGAGATATTTTCTCTCTCAAAATTCCCTTAGTTTTGAAAGTTATTGCAATCTTTATTTTTGTTTTCGAGAATGTTTTTTCCATAAAAATTATTTAATCACTGCAGTCGAAAATTTAGTTCTCTCGAGATTTTAGTTTTAGAAGCTCATGCTTGAATTGATGTGAATAGTTAAAAAAAAAAAAAAAGAAAGAAAGATGAATTTATAAAAAAAAAATAATAAGCTATTAACCCTAAATGCATTAACTAAATTTTTGGGCTGCCTTTCTAAAATACCCTATAAAACTTAAGCTATTAAGGGCAAAATAAAAGCTTACCGTTCCTAAGAATCCTGCTGCTCCAGTTGTAAATATGGTTTTTCCAGCATAGAATTCCGAGAGTGTTTCCATCGTTTCGACCTTTAGAAAATTGTGATGGTAGTCTATACAATGCACTATAAAAACACTTATTAGTCTATCAAATACCTATTAAATCATGTTATTCAATAAAGAAAAGAGTTGTTTTTGTTATAAATTAACATAAAATATTGTTTACGATTTTCAAAGGAAATAAATTATTTGTTTTCAATCTCGTTATTCCTTGCGGAAATATTTTCTAAAAGTAATGTTAATTGCACCATCGCTAAGCAAAGAAAACAGCACATTTTTAAGGAAGCACTTAAAAACATATAAGCTTAACAGGCCGCTTCTATCATTTTATTTTTTTACTATACGTGTTGTTATTTAAAGCATTTAAGCTAAGTCGTTATTCTGGAAAGATTCTGAACTAAGCAAAATGAATCCTACCATTGAACTTCGATAAAATTTATATCAATATACATTTTTGAGAGACATATTTGTACATGTTAAATTATCAGCATGATTACCATAAAAGAAATTAGCTTTCTTACTCACTGTATGATTTAAAATGGCTTGAATCTTCCAATAAGTGTATTTGAATAAGTAAATCGTTTAATATGTAGATTTGAATAAATTATTCAAAGAATTCGAATTATACCATGAAGCTGACGGTCATGGTGATCATTAAGTGATTCAGTAACTACTAGAAATACTGGATACTAGAAAAAATTTATCTTCAAAGTCATTGAGTAAATTCCTTTGAACAAAAGAAATGAATAAGATTATTTGCTTTTGGTAAATGTAAAAAGAGGACAATGATCAAACAATTATGAATAAAAACAGCAGGTGTGCTTCGAAATCCTTTCTTCATTTTTGTACTGGTTATTTTCATCTTTTTTCTTAAGCTTCTTCCCGACTATGTAATTGTAGAATTCGAATATTCTAACAAAAAAAAAATTTTTTTTTAAAACTTTATTTTGATTTTCTTAGCATTCTGTTTGTTATTTCATTTCATCAAAAGTTTTAAAACAACTAAATCTCAATCTGAGAGTTTTTATTAAGCTTCATTTATTTAGATTTCTTTAAAATGTACAGAGCGCAAAGAAAAAGAGAAGAAAGAACGAAGAAAAAATTAATCCTGAAATAACTTTTGATAGGATATTCTTGTACTTGAACTCAATTCTAAGGATTCGAGCGCCGACAATATTTTAAGTTACGAAATGAGACACAAAACGTATTGTGTCTGAATAAACATGTCTTTCTTTTCCTGGATTCGGGTTCTGGACCATCAAAATATGGGGTTAGTCACAATAAGTTATAGATAGAGGAAGAAGGCTAGCTTCCATAGACATAAAACAAACCAATCCCGCACGCGTGGATGCCAACACTGTGTATAAAAGAAAAAACAAAATTTAGGGGCACAGCAGCAAAGGGTTTTTGAAACGGATTTGTACCATCCCCTCCACCCAATCACTTGTTGGGGAAGAGAAGAAAAATTATCTATGTTTTATTGTTGGTTTGTTAAGCCTCTTTACTCTACTGATACTGTACTATAAAGTTATTTCTTTCAGAAAATACTTATATCATCCATTTTGATTAACTCTGCTTACGCATTTTGACATAGAAAGAAAGAATAAAATGGTGGATGACGGGAGGTAGCATACCCAACTATACTTGCAGAGTTTGCAGAGTTGTCTATCAACCGGTTAACAGCTGACGTACCTCCTGACTGGCACTTTTCTTTTTATGCGTCTTAGTACATATGATGCTCTGCTAAATCTGAGATCTGAGTACGTTTTTCTGATGTAGCATATCGCAGTTCTCCACGTTACTTACGTATTCGAAGAGCTAGACTTCTTCTCCTTTCTATATTCTTTTGTTAAAATCTGGGAAATGTGCTTCCAATAATTTGGTCAAGTCAGCAGTTGAAATTTTAGGCCCTTTGTTGTTAAGTTTACTTTTTGCATATTTCGATGCATCTCCAGATATTTTTAAGTAAGCCGAAACATTTTTGCACACAATTAAAAAAATTATTTTTCAAAAATAATTACATGCGAAAATAACTTTTAATTGTTTTAAATATTTTTAAAAATATTAGTTGAGAAAAATTTAGAATTGTGAAGTGTACGAATTTTTGTATAAATTTATGAAATGCAATTTTCGATGGTAAAATGATGCAAAATTGAACTAATAGTTCCTGCTGAATGAAATTTTAAATTTAGGGCATTTTTGAAATCTGATGACTCCGAAACTATTCGACCGATTTGCTTACAATGTTTTATTTATTTATTTATTTTTTTACTTTGCCATATAAAATTACATTCTTTGAAATGATGTAAAAACTTATATGCCATTCAATTCAATATTTCTTCAACTATTATTAAATAAAATAATAACAAAAATAACGGATAAGTATTAAAAATGATTTTTTGCATGGAATTATCCTTGGGTAAACGAATTTTATAATTGTGCATGAATATTTTTGACTCGCATGCAAATACGTTTCAATTAACCTTAAGGGGTTCAAACACTTTCCTTACCTTCTCTTCAACAGGGATCATGTTTTCCAGATTGCATCCATATGTTGAGGGTCAGGATTGTAAATCCATAGATAAAAAGAAAATGTTTATTCAGAGAAAGTACTTTTCTTCGTCTGATTTCGTTAACTTTAAATGAGTCTCCAATTAATTACTATATTTAAGCTGACTATTGAATCATTAAGATTGAGTCTCAGTGCATGAAGGAAGTTCCTTTTTTCCTCTTGTGCAGCACTTTGGATTTAATCGCTGTAATTATTCATTCACAAACGAAAATCAAAGTTTTTAATTAGGCTCAACAGTCTAAAGAGCCCCGTGATAGAATTTTTGCGAGCTATCTGCGACAAAACTCTCTATCGCTAATATCTTTCTGCAAGATACTTTTAATTATAATAAACATGTATGTTGTGAATTTAAAATAACAAAAGCGCGGTGTTTACAAAAACAAAACTATATATATATTTTTGTTTTTTATTTGAACATGTAATTTTTATTCTAATATTATAGGTAAAATTTTCGCATTTTGTTGAGAGGGGGGGGGGGAAGCAGAAATTATTTCCTTCGCCTTTTGTAACTAATCATCACAATAAAAAAAAAAGAAAAATTATTAAATCCGTAGTAGTAATCGGCGAAAAAAAAAAAGATCGACTACAAAATCACGCGAATCGGACACCTCTAATGCGCGTTTCGTTTCTTGATTAGGCTGTTGCATAAAAGTAATATCGTATAAAAAGTACCGGATTTAAAAACTATGGAGAAATCAATAGCAATAACTGATGAAATTCGACAGAATTATTGCCTTAAAAAGTAAATACTCAAATACACGATTCGAATTTTCCATGTTGTTGCTAGTCAAGAAAAAATTTGAACTTGAAACAATGAAATATATATCACGCTAAATGAAAATTGGAAGCGCTACCTCTTTTCGGAATTAAAATTGCTCGAAGAATATAATGCAATTTTAAGTACTTTTTTCGTGAATTTTTTATTCTATTTGTTTCTTTAAATAGTATATATATATATATATATATATATAACAAATAAATAAAAACAAGAAGACACGAAGAAAGTTTATCATTCTCGGGAAAATTTCTGTACATGTAAGTTGATCTGATTTTGCTACTCGCTTTATAGTCCCTTTTTAATGTTTTTTCTTTTTCTTTTATTTTATTTTCTGTTTTTACATGTTATTTTTACTTATTTTTACTTTTTGTGATCTATTTTATTTGCTGTTATTTTTATAAAAAAAAATTTTGAGTGCTCCTCACACTATTGTATTAATATATTTTGCTTTGGCTTTATTGATGCAATATCAGAAAGCACTCTGTTTTGCGGATATAATCGTGTGGGCTGAAGAAAAGATTATATCTTTTTTTCCCGGTTTTTTAAATAAAATTTCATCCTTTTTTTNATGTTTATATATATATATATATATATATATATATATAATTTTTAATGAAACAAAAAGAAACATTTAACAATGATGAACGAGAGGCAACCACGGAGGTTGGTAAGCGAAACTAGCAGAGGTGAGAACTCTATCATATTAAAATATCTTTAGTATCACTATCGCTGTTTTGGATGTCCAACTTTTTGTTACACTTTGAATTTTTGTGCAAAAACTGCACACAAAATAATTGAAATTACAATGGAGTGCAGAAATATGTACAGGGAGTATGATGGAATTAAAAAAATAGCATTCTATAATTAGTTCGAGAATTATTAATTCCGAAATTTGAAGTAAAATGTACCTTGAGGTTCATAAAGCAAGCTTCATAAATGTCGCTGCATAGATTGAAATTTGACATGCTGACTGGTCCATTTTTTGCTTATTAACAAAGCGTTTTTTTTTCCCTCAAAATTTCAATTCATTTGAAAGTTATTCCACTATTAAGTTCTTTTCTTTGCGGATTTTTCTTACTTTTGTTTTAAATAATAACTACTTATCCATTATTGTAGAAAAGCATGTTTTGTATTATTATCCGCATTATTTTGTAAGCTTGCGCTTTATTTAATGTCAAATTTAACAATGAAAGAAAGGAATAAATGCAATAAATATAGCATATAGCAAGAGAGTAACAGATTAGATGTTGCCAGATATACATCTTAATGCATCCAAACATTTATGTCGCAATTTTAAAAATGTAGAAGATTTGAGGGAGAGGGATATTGTTTTTAGTATGAACTTTTGATGCGGAGATTTGATATATGATATTTGATACTTGATATTATATGATGCGGAGATTTAGTGATTATAGTCACCATCAGGGATTAATTCCAGACCTTCCCTAATAATTAAATATTCATCGTTAATACAATCTGGAAAATTTCTTAAAATCGTAGAAGTTCGCCTTTATCCATCAAAAAGTATAAATATCTGTATGAAAATATGAATAGTATGAAAATATCTTAAGTGTGAAGTAACTTAGGGATTCTCAAGTGAAAGCAAACTTTAAGCATTTTTGAGTAGCCTTAAGAAACATTAACTATTTTCTGCTGATTTGGCGAGATTGTCAGGTTCTCACCAAATCATTAAATTACAATAAAACAGTTAATGCTGCACTTTTGAATGTTATTTTCGTCAATAATTGTAAGAAAACATAAAATTAAAATTTAGTTAAATGAAAGTACCCGCTCATGAGGAAATTGTTCATAATGGAGAAGCGTCTCCTAGACGACAATTTCAAACATAGGTTTCTAAGCAATTTTAATCCTGATAATGAGCCAAAACAGTCTGTCGTAACATTTATGAGACCTGTTATATACGCTTTTAAACTAGTACATTTAGAAAAAAATAGACTAAAAATGTCAGTAAAGTAAATAATAAAACACGGTAACTTTAAGAGCAAAACAAATTTCAGATTTTAAATCCCCATGCGAAAATTAGGTAAGATCAAGTATTTGAATGAATAGAACAAGAAACTTGTTTCTCAATCTTACATTTAATTTTCTTTTGTCTTTTTATCAATACCAGTTTTTTTTAAAATCTAATTATAACTTTAATTTTGTTACTTGTTCTTTTAATTATGGCTTTTTAAGTAACATCTTATTGCATGTTCCTTAAAACAATTTAAATGTAAAGATAGTTATTTTCAATTAAATTAGTATCATGATTAATTTATTTCAAATCATTTACCATTGTATTGTACTCAAGTAAATAACGTGTCATAAATATGTAGATAGAAGCACACAATTCTAACGAAATTGTCAAACAATTAAACGATTCTATGCATATTCTAAAAGAAGGGTATTTCATAAAACTACTTTATCTAATAAATAAATAAAAAATATTTGTATTATTTCTTTTTAAAAACAAAATTAAGGAACTAATATCTTGCACGAGATTGCTAATTTACCTAGTGTAATGAATGTTTAAAAATCAATGGTTTTTTTTTCTTCATCTTCAGTGGTTTTTTCTTTTAATAGTTATTAATTTTCTTTCAGTATAATAAGAAAGAAAAGAAAAACAAGTTATATAATTTTTTATTAATTTATAAACCTCCTTAAAGAAATTTAACTAATGATATCATAACGCAAACTCAGGAACTAAGTAAATTTTCTATTTCTTCTTTAATTTAAACTTCCTTAAACAAATTAATATAATTCTCTCTAGACTAACGAGACTAACGAGACTAGACTCTCTAGACTAACGAGTATCATTAGTATGTTTTTTCACTAACATTTCCTTAATAATAAAACATTTAGAGGAACGGGGAGTGTTTTGTTATTATTCTTTTCTTAATATTCTGTTATCTTCCTCATTAATAATAGTTGAAATTCACACGTCATGAGCCGATTCGGATTATATATATAATACAAAAATACAAAGAAAACAAGCGAAGAAATAAAAAGAGTAAACATTCTTTAAAAGAGAAAAAGAAAATTTATTATAAATAATTAAAAATAATTAAAAAATAAATAAATTCTTTCTTCAAGAATTAAAAAGAAATTAAAAAGCCAGAAAACAAAATGATGAAAAGATGTAATCTCGTCGCCAGCTGACACCATTACATCGCAAATTTGGGTGCATTCTAATATTGTACTAATTTTGTCAAAGCAAAAAATATCAATATCAAAAAATATCAAAAGAAAAAAATATCAATATCAGCACCAAAAAATTCATAAGAAAATGAAACATATCAAGCAAAGGACACAACTATACAAAAAATAGAAAATAAAACACAAAGAGTAACAAATAAAACAGGGAGTGAGATAATGCTGCTATTTACTTACTGACTTCGTGCAAAAGTGATTTAAAAATATTTTCGTAGCTAGTTTGCCGGATTACTAAATTAAGGTAGGTAGGTATACTTTATTTGCGTCATACTAGAGCTGAAAAATGGGCTATTCGCGATGGTCTGGTAAACATCCCTAAGAATGATCAGAAGACACACCATCCCAATTTTGATTCTCTTCAGAGGAGATCTCATTTGTGAGGGCACTTTCTCAGTTTAGACATAGATTTGAAAGGGAAGAAAATTTTCTCCAGATCACTGCACCTATGGTGTTGCTCAGCGGCCGACTACAGGATTTTTGATAAAAACAAATTTTACGATCACGTATATCGCATATGGATGGTGTTTTCAATAGAAATGTAAACAATAACAATCTCGAGCTCGGCACCTACTCTAGTTCCGGTTAAAAAGTTTGCAGCTGCTTACTACATGTTATTTTGATAGGCGATGTTTTCAAACGGATAATTTTGTTTTCAATAAAAGAAATAAATTAGATAATTTCTGAGCTCAAATCTGCCATATTTCATAAGATATTAATGTTAATATGTAATTCTGGTGAGTTTGAAGTGAAAATTTGTTTTAGTTTTTCAGAGATATATTGTTAAAAAAGGTGACATGGTTGCTAGATTTTGAATAACTCGCTTTTTTGGCAGTCTTGATATGGCCTCTTTCCATAACTTTATTACTGTTTGTTCTTGTTGCAAGCTGTGCACCATCTTACGTTAGTGTTAACACTTTTAGCATTGTAAACACCAGTATTGTTAGCATTTCAAACACAAGTAATAAGTAATCAAATACATTATTTGCAAGAATCTCAAAACACAATGATGCCAAATGGCTTTAAAATACAACGGAAACAGTAACCCGGAATTTTAGGCGGTACCGAGCTTGCAGCGTTCCCTAGTGTAGAAAACACCATCCATACTTGGTGGGTCTTAGCGGAATCAAGGATCGAATCTCGGCCCCTGCAGACCGGAGTCCTGAATATTAAATTGAAACGTAAATAGAGGCTCGTTTTTAATGCTCGTTTTTACTGAAGTACTGAACCGAGCTTGATTTATCTGTTACCTTGGATTGGTCCGAAGCTAGATTTGTGCAAGGTAATTATATAATAATTTATTTAGTTGTGGCAATTATTTAGTTATTCATTAATTATTTCGATTTTTGTTAGTTAACTGAAAAACTACTGAAACTAACGATTCATTTTCGTGCCCAGTCAAATAAAACTATCGGTTCGAACTAATATATATATATANGCTGCTTTGTATAAATTATCGGTTATTGTTATTAGCAGAGGTTGTAATTAAGAGCGTTGTTCAATCCCTGGTCCATTAGTACGTCTATAATATATATATATATATATATTTTAAAAATTAGATTTGGAAAAGAGGAGCTTTTGATTCAAATTTATATAAGACACCTACTTTCTCTTGTCTCTCAAAAAAATTGCAACCGTGCATGCGTTGAAGACCTTAGGCGTATCCACAGATAAGTATGTATCCTTGTTGTTTGTTAATGATTATTTGATAATGATAATGATTATTTGGTAATAATAATGTTTGATAATGATGATGTTTGATAATGATTGTTGTTTGAAATAGTTCCCAAAGCATAGCGAAAGTTCATGTCAATAATGTGCATTTTTTATAATAATATATTTCATGTTGTATAAACTTTTACTGTGTTCTAGTTATGAAATAAAATTTTTTGGTAAGCTTTTAATTTTTAATTTAATTTTAAAATAGGTTACTTCAAAAAGTATGAACACATTAAGTTCGTTACATTCAATATTTCTATTAAATTTATTCTAGATAATTAACCAAATGTAAATTTTTTTTAAAAAATCAGATTATGTATTTATTTATTAAATCAAATAGTCAGTTAGTAAATATCATCATATATGCGAATTACACTGATTTAACTCTCATTGTAGTTCTTTTTAGGTTCATATTATTAACTAAAACGAAATACATGATTTTAAAAAAAAATTCAATGCTAATTGCAGCACATTTATGCTTTAAAAACACATTTTGATCTAAAAAAACTTGTAATTGAGACAATTTTTTTTCATTGGCTGAATGGTTAGGAGTCTAAAGAATTTTATAAATCATCTTAAACATTCGATATCCTTAAAGTTTTACATTAAATAAATGAGCGCATTTGCTCTGGTATAACTGAAAAGTATTAAAAAAGTTTAAGTTGAAGACTCTCATTGTGTATCGTTCATACAAAAACTCTGCAATTTAATATTTCGCAATTTTATATCCTCAATAGATGTAAGAGTGAAAAATTAAAAAAAAGGAAATGAATTTTTTGACTTGGTTTATACACTCTTACACCTATTGAGGACATAAAAATGCGAAATACTAAATTACATAGTTCATATATGAGCGATAGACAAAGAACGTGTTCGTTACACGTCCTTCAGAAGATAAGGAATAATTTCTGTGGCTGTCAATGCGACGCCCATTCCTGGATAACTCTGGATCAAATTATCCATATCCCATTCCCGTAAAATCTAAAATAGATGTCTGATGGACGGCTATTAGACATATAATGGATCTCCCCTGAATCAAATATAGATGTTTAGTAGACGTCCACCTGGTAACCACATGGACCTTCGTGGCGTCTACATCCACTAGATGAATTTGTGATATATGGGAACAATATAAATGAGTTTTATATAAATATTAAAAAGTGATACTTAGTAGTATAATACACTATAGTGCTTTGTCTCTGTTTGCAAACTGATTTCTTAATAACGCACAGTATATTTATTTGCTGAACTGTATGAGGCATTAATATTACTGGGAATTAATAATAGCAGGGGAAGAATTCGAAGGATATATCCAATCATATATATAATTAAAAAAAATATAAAAAACAGGATCTCATATATTGTAGGGAGGGTGTTTTCTACACTAGGGAGCGCTGCAAGCTCTTGACTGCCTATACTTCTGGGTTACTGTTTTTGGTGTGCTTTGAAGCCATTTGGCTCTCAATTTGATCATTGCGTTCTGATACTATCTTGAGGTTTACTTCTTGTATATGTGTATTTGTTACTCGCTTATTATTTGTGTTCAAAAGAAGAACCGCAATAAGAATTGTCGTTTGATGTTGCAGTTGTAGTTGTAGTTCATTTACGTTGCACTAGAGCTGCACAATGGGCTATTGGTAGTTGTTGTTGTTAATTTACGTCGCACTAGAGCTGCACAATGGGCTATTGGTGACTGTCTGGGAAACATCCCAGAGGATGATCCGAAGACATGCCATCGCAATTTTAATCTTCTGCAGAGGGGATGCCCCCCCACTTCGGTAGCGCGACGACCTGCACGCGAAGTCGAGCACTTTACGGAAGAACAGTTTATCGAGGACCAATACCACACATCCTCCGTCCCTACGCAGACTGATCCAAGTGGTCACCTACCCACACAGTGACAGCAGCCAGTGATGCTTGACTTCGGTGATCTACTGGGAACCGATCAGTCCAGTGCGAGACCAGTTGTCGTTTGATGACCTGTCATTTCAAGGTATAAGAATTGTCATTTAAAAAAAGAAGCGTTATAAAGCTCTTCTTACTTTGTAAACAATATATCAACTTCGAAATTTAAACCCAAATGATAATTTGTAAAATGAACTTAATCTCGCTGCTCGAACAATATGCTAACACAAAAGTATGGTGGTGCACGGCTTGCACAAGAACAAACGGTAGTAAACAAGTAAAAAGAGGCCAAATCAGAACTGTCAAAAAAGCGAGTTCTTTCTAAATCTAGCAACCATGTCACCTTTTTTGAACAATACATCTCTAAATAACTAAAACAAATTTTCACTTCAAACTCATCAGAATTACATAACCCCTTCCTTCTCGCTCCCGTGAAAATGACGGGGTGAGTTTTCGCCTGTTATTTCTCGCTCCCGTGATATTGACGGGCTGGAGTGTTCATTAGTAACGCGCCAATAAAAATAAAACTAATTCATTTCTTTTGCCCGGAAAAAATTTTATTTCTCATTTTACACACCAGATAGCAGTATCAGGATATTTTTTAAGGTAATTGTAGATAGTTAGTTTATTTTAAACTAGATTTCAGCACTAATCAAATACGTAATACAAATATTGAAGCCAAAAAAAAGGCACTTTTATGACCGTTTTCTCGAAAATTAACCGATCGTTAAGGCGTTAATATCATTAATGTCTTATAAATTACAGCAGTTTTGAGCTCGGAAATTATCTATATATATATTTCTCTTACACGGCGACAAAAAAAGCCTCATTACAACTCCCCGAATGGCAACGCTAGAAAATCGACCAATGATTGCCGCTAAAAGTGTCACATGCCAAATCTAGCTGAGGTGGCTCTATATATAGCTCTTTTAAAAACGGAAACTGAAATAACCAAAGAGAGCATTATCACCAATTGTGATCTCTTCCGAAATTCACCCTATCAGCTGCGCTGCGGCAATCTCATACTATTAAGCTAGGCAGAAGTGAGTAGTCTTCGTCGATAGATCTCTATTTCAGTATTTTGTCGAAAGCACTTTTTTTTTTCACGAATTCATATACTACGAATTTATTTGACGATTTTTGATCTATATAACGAATTTATTTGTTTTATTATTGTTATTAGTTATTTTTTGAAAAATGAGTCTCAGTCGTGCTGTTACGCCTTTAGATTTTATACTATAGCACATTTCTAATAGGTTTAAAGAATCACATGTCATTTATTGTGTAGCGTCCTCTATGTTCCCTCTTTAATTTAATTTCCAACCTTTTGTTTGTATATATTTGTTTTGTGGTGAATGGCATCATGTTTTTGTTGCTGTTCCGAAAAGTGTAAAATAAATTGCTAGTGTTATTCTCTTATTCCTGTCATCATTTATTTCACTATTTGTATTCTAAGGATGGAAAAATATTGAAGGAAAAATGATTCAGCCTAAAACAGCCCCTTCATTGGTGACCCGGGCGTGATTTGTACACGCAGTAACGCCCACTTCGCAAATAACTTGATGGAACGTCTGCTTCGATGTATAGTCCACACTGAACAGTTGACTTGCTACTTGTGACTGCGACATAATTAACCTCCTCACGCTTTGCTACTTAGTCTCGTCTCGATTAAACACAGCGTCAGCTTGCATACACTCAACTGCTAATGGCAACACAGGAGCGACTACGACTGTGAAGTTAATACATCTCTCACTTTCAGCACTCAAAAATCCGGTGACTCTCTCTCCCGGTCTTTCACAAGTACAGCAACCAGTGGTATCCGTTCATCGAATTCTATCCCTGATAAAATTCTGGTGGGGGAGTAATGTGGCGTAACTGCCACTACGAAAATTAAACATCAATTCACTGGTATATAAGACATGCTAACTTGATTCAATCACGAGGTACCTTTTGATAGATGAGGGTTGGCATAGTTGATAACCCCCCCCACACACACACATTGTAGATGAAAACATGCGAGCAATTCGAAAGTTGTTTTGAAACGAATACGGCTTCAGTCGGCTTTGGTCGGCTTTAATACGGTCTAATTCAGGGGCTCTAGAGAGGGAGGGGATCATGGACGACGTAATCAACTACGTCATTACTAACCCTGTCTATTATAGAACACTCTTATTAAAAAAATATCAAAGATAGCTATAAGCGTATTGGCAACATGCGTAATTGTTTCTGTTTATTTTGATTTTGGCGCGGGTAACTTCATTGAGTTTTGAGGTTTTATTCGTTCAAAATACGTTCGGTTAAAACTTATCTCAAATCAAAACCGAATATTGAAAATGATTCTTACAAAAAATGATATGTTTCATAACTGTGAGATTAGAGTATATGATAGACCTTCCTACAAGTTCGAAAATTTATGTCATAAATATATTAACCGTGATCGGTCTTTTGATAGACAATTTGCAGTTTCTTATACTGCAAGACTTAAATGCTCTCTTCCTCTACTGCAAAAGCAGGTGAAGAATAAGTGGGGTAAGTTTAAATTCTTTTTCTTTTATATTACATATCATGTATATATTTAGAGTAAGTTGCCTTTGGCTACTGATTGTTGAATGAATTACATAGCTCCATACTTTATGGAAGATAGATGTGTTTAGGACTGGAATGTTTAAACATAAGTTTCCAAATTGAAACAAGTTTTTATCTGGAAGAGAACTGAATGAAGTACAATAAATACCTTTTGACATCCATCAATGAAAACAGTGAATGTTAGTTTTAATAATAAGTTGTCATGAAGAGGTGGATATTTCCGTATCGTGATCTGTCGCGCCTAGTTCAATCGTCAAGGTGCCAAATAGATTTTAGACTTGTAATTTAAAAAAAGAAACAAAACAAAAAAGCATGTAGATGTCTGCCCGGGGGTGGCTACTAGTTTTACATTTCGAGTTGGTCCCTTTCTGTGATGTTTTTTTTTTAGTTTCTCGCGGGCCACACTGCCCAGAAGTTTCCAAGACTTGGCGATTATTTTGCCACAGATCACGATAAGGAAATCTCCTCAATATTTGTATCTTTAATATCAGCAGTTTGTCCGTGACTTAGAAATTTGTAATTGCAGACCTGTTTAATGAAGCTATAACATTGTAGCTTGAAATGAGCATGCTTCACATCAAGTCAATTTAGTCCCATTGTTGAACCTCAAGAATAATATTTTGCTCCAAAAAACTATAGTTTTTACTTTTTAGAGACTAGTTAAAAATCTTTATTACATGATGTAAAAGTGCAATGGAACTTTTCATCTATGATATACCATCTTTGATTTTTAAAGGCATGTATATACTGTAGCTCATGTAAAAATAAAAAGCCGTTATAAACTTCAATGTTATACTAAATGCTGTTTTATAGCGTTTCTGAATTAGTCTAGAAAAAATAATTAGTAGAAATAACACAAAACAATTTCAAATTCTGTTATGATTTTTGAGGAAATCGATGCAATTCGTGCGCGTCAAGAAGTGATTACTCAAATCAGAGCTAATTTCCATGTCATAATATTGTATTAAAAATATATAGATTTTATTGATTTGATTCAAGTTTAATTCAGTAAAAAAATTCCTTGCATTTGTTTTTTAATTGAAATAAAAAATTTCTTAGGCTGCCTAAATTTTTCTAGAACCTTGTTTATTCCATCAGAAATATTCTGCACTCTTGAGTAGAGAAATTGTAGTAGAAGTACAGAGCTCATTCTAGGCAGAAAAAAGGGCAGGGTGCAAAAGTTTAAAAAAAGGGCATTATTATTCTAAAAAAGCAATAATTTCTTTCTATGGGCTTTACACGTTCTATTAAAAAGCATTGTCAATTAGTAAAATAACATTTTTTTTTTACTTTACTGAAAGTAGCTAGGCAATCATATTTCTAATTTTTATTAATAAATTAACATATAAATTGAGTTAATTAGCTTAGTAATTTATTTAAAATGCATGCATATATTAATAAAATAATAAATGTATGTTTTTAAGAGTCTGTAGTTGTGATTTAATGATAGTGGAAGTAACTGCAAACTTTCAAAGAAAAGTGCAGCAATGACAAACTAAATAAAAAGAGTTGAAAGTAACATAAGTTTAAGAAATCCATTGTAGAGTTTGGGGGAAAAATAAGGAAGGGTTGAGGAAAGAAAGGGCAAAAAGGGTATGGAGTCTATTACATCAGGGCACTATTTTACTTTAGGGGTAACAGGGTGGATTTTTTTGATTTGCGCCCTGTTTACCTAGAATGAGCTCTGATAGTAATTAGTTGTAAGCTTTTATAACAGTTATCATATTTTAAACTTTTAATAAATTTTTATACAGTCAAAAAAATTATTGAAAAAATTGTGTAATATAAAATTTTTGTATCATTTCAGGTTCATCATCAAATGTAAAACAATTAAGTGATATTTTGGCAGATGAGCATGTGATTGTGATAGGTACAATATTTAAAATGATGGAGCTACATCCTACTATATTAAAGGAAATAAGTGAAGAGGTACTATTATTAGTCTAGATTTGTAGCTGTTTCCCTTGCTTAATTCAGTTTAATATGTTAATTAATAATAAAGTAGATCCAATTTTTCATAGTTACTTTAAAAATCAGGGGTCTGTCCAGATCAAATTTACTACTGTTATCGGTCCTTTCACAAACTCAACTTTAGAAAAACGGTAGTTTCACGAAATAGTTTTTCTTAAAATTTTATTTTTGTATCCCGTAAGAAACGATAAATCCATATTTTTGTGGTGATTTTGTAATATAATTTTTAATTTTCACAAATTATGTCTAAATTTTCACAAAATAGGTTCATCTCAAAAAAAACCTAGACATTCCTCTGAAAATATATTGCAGCTAGTCAAAAATTTCCACCATGTTAATATTTTTGCAAAATGCAAACAAATTCATCCAAAAATGTTAAATGAAACTTCAACTTTTTGTTTCATTCTAAAGCCACACTTGCAAAAATATTTATTAAACAAGAGACAAAATAAAGATTCACCTCAAACAAAAGAAGAATATTTGGGAAAAATATAAATCTTTTATTTTTTTAGCCATCTTTTAAGTGCAATCTCTGCTAAGAGCATTTACAGAATTATTGATTTAGGACTATGCTAAAACTTTTTTTCTGATTTTAGCTTTTTTGTTAAAGATCTTTTAAACCCAGAACTAATCTTAGTTTTACCTCTCATGTTTACAATAGCACAGAACATCACTTTTCTCTTTCATCACTTTTTCAATCATCACAAAGCATAAGTCACATGCATATATAAATTATATAAATGTAATCAGACACTTGTGAATTGTAGTTACTATTTTTTATAGGCTAAATTATCTGCCAAAAAATTTTAACAGAAGGTTGAGAATGATTGTTGCATTTTTATGAATAATTTTATTAATATTAATTTTTATTGTAATAATTTAGATTTTTTTACATTCATATTTCTTAATGAAGTAGATATATTGCCAATGTTTTAAAATTGTAACTTCAAGTGATTATAATTTAGTAGAATCTATAAAGATATTTTACAACTTGATACATCAAAATAGTTACAAATTTTATATGAGGCACAGTATGGTAGTTTTAAAAATATAAATTCAATTTGACTGTTTTGTATCACTTAACTGATATATAGGACATAATACATTGCTGAAAAATAAAATTTTATAATTGCCTAGTGTAGTACCTGCTTAAAACTTTGAGATTGAGAATCATCTTCTGAGAGTGGCAACATCAAAAATGTTTACAAAGCAAGTAAAATAACACAGAATTTCATATTCACAACACATTCTTTAAAAAAACATTTTCTTAGTTAGATTCAAGTTGCTTTGTTTGAATGATTAATTATTAAATTCATCATCTTGCAACTTCTTTATTCTTTGAAAGTCAAAAAAGAATATGCTATTTTTAATTGCTTGTAGGATGCCTTATGTTCTTAAATTACAAATAAGATCTTTACGTTTGATGTATAATTAATTAATATAGTCATTAATAGTGTTCATGTGCTTTCAGTTTTTAAAAAGATTGAATTAAAAAAAAAAAATCTCCCATTTAAAAAGGAAGAGGTAGCACGGAATGAAATCTGTGTTTAAATGAATGATTGAAATGCCACATTAAAAAAAGCACAATAGTTTATTGTACATATTTTTAAGTAGTGTGCCATTAAACAATTTTTCTGTAGGAGTTGCAAACTGGAGACCATGACAGGCAAGTGTAATTTAATTTTTTTAAAGTGTTAGTTAGTTTTAAAAAGTAATACTCCTTCATGATGCAAGTAATGAGTATAAAATATTTTTAAATATTTTAATAAAGTTAAAACTTGTCAAGTAGTCATTTTGTAAAAGAAAAAAAAAGGTTATAGTTCATTATAACTTTAAAACTTAATTTTTTTTTGAGCGTGCTAAATAAGAATAAAATTACAGGGAAAGAAAAAATATTTGTAGTAAAGATTTTTTAAGTCGATAAGAATGCAAATCGTTTTAATATTTTATTTTATCAATTAACTTTTTTAATATAATTATTTTGAATTTAAGATGTCATTTGGCATTAAGAAAAAAATATTTTTAATAATTACTAATTTTTATTGTTATTATTCATTTTATACAGCATAACATGATACCACAACCTGTAACAGAACACTATACTAGTGATGACGATTATGTTATATTAGAAGATGATACACAACGAGTTATGCTGTGTGGAAATATTGATCCTCATGCTTTTGTTACTGGTAATGATAATTTTTTTTTCTTAAGAATTAATTTTTTTAACAATTCTTATCACTATTAAAAATAAACTGTTCATAAAAAAGAGCAATTAAACCTCATTAACATAAACACATTTTTTTTTGGCATGTACAAATTTATATTGTTACCCATCCAAAATTAATATAAATTTAAGTATTTACTACATGAATGTGCTTAATGCATAATTTATTAATGTCAACCTAGATTTCATAACCCTTGGTAAACTTGACATTACTTGTAAATAAATAAAAAATTCAATTTTGTCCTTATAGGTAGGGAAACTGATGATCTGCAATTTTGTATAATTGAGAATAGTTATTTATATTTGTGGGGGACCAAGCTGTTATTTTTTTTGGGAGAGTTTATAAATGTGCATGTAATTAAATTAATTTATTTGTTTATTTAATAAATTAGAAAAAAATATTTAAAATTAAGACTGAATGATTGACTACATCAGTGATTCACATAGTGGTGTATATCGACCCCCAGGGATCGACGCCAACCTGCAAGGGGTCCATGTCAAGTGAAAAAAAAAATTTTTGGGGGTCCGTGAAATGTAAATGGGGGTCAACGATAATGGATCTCATGTAAGCAGTTTGTGACTTTAATTTTGGCATTTCATGAATGGAATAATCAACATACACTGATAGTACCTGTTTACTTTGCATACTACCTTATAATAAAAAGACATATATCTATCTACTTTCTACATAATTTATAAAAGTAGCTGTGAAGTAAAAATTTTATTAAAATTTAAGTTATTAGTATTATTTTTTGATGTATGAAACTGAATTATTATAAACTAGTAGTTGCCTGTAGCTCTGCCCGCATACATTTTTATTTTTTCTATGTATAAGATTTTATTTTGTAACAAAAAAGTATTTTTCCGCCGTAAATTGGTTTCTGGTAAATTAATTGGTTTGGTAAATTAATTTGAATTTAATTAATAAATGTATAAAATTAATATGGGTTTTTTTCTTATGTTTTTTACACTACACTTCACTACAGTTAGAAATTTAAACTTTTCGCATTAAATAGCACTATACCAGCTGTAAAAAATAAATTTGAAGTTGATAAATTTACAAAAAATCAATAGCAGGGGGTCTACCCGAAAATGAAAAACATGACAAGGGGTCTATGTGACAAAAAAGTTCAGGAACCACTGTACTACATGATTGATTCTACATAGTAAAGGAAATGGAGATACTTTCATGCATTTGAAAACAAATTTTTTCTAATAGAGTTTATATAAGAATTAGGAATGTGATGAATAATAGTTATTTGGCTGAAAACCGTATTTTATATTATTTACCAGGGGTCTGTCCAGGCCAAATTTACTACTGTTTAGCGGTACCTTCACAAATTCAACTCTAATAAAAACGGTAGTTTCACAAAATACTTTACCTTAAAATTTTATTTTTGTATCCCATTAGAAACGATAAATCCATATTTTTGAGTTGATTTTTTAATAAAACTTTTAATTTTCACAAATTATGTCTAAATTTCACCTCTCAAAAAAACCTAGACAGATCCCTGTTTACAATAACTTGATTTTATAAATATGATTATGAATCTTTTTTTCCTATCACTTTTTATAAATAATTAAAATATACTTATAAAATGTCTTTAAACATAAACCCCAATTACTTTGTGGTAAGACCTTTAATATCTTTTCAGAATTAATGAAAATTCTGCTCAATTAAGTGTAATTTTTCTACCATTTTACAAAATCTATCACCCAAAGCAAAGAGGGTGGCAACCCTGTATTTGAACATATATGGTATAAATATTAAAATGATTTCATAAATTTTACAGATAAGAATTAAATTAGTAGAGATGGATTGGTAAGAAAATTAATATTATAAAGTGGTCTCATTTAGTTTACAAATAACTAACTTCTTAAAAAGAGTGATTGATGAAAAATTTCTTCACATGAAATTAAAGTTATATTTAAGAAACTAGAGATATTAACTGGATATTAATTTCAGACTTATTTCTTCATCATTGTTTCTGTTGTTATATTTAATTGTTTATTATGTTTTTAAGCACGTAATTTCCTTATTCTTTTATAAACTTTATTGTTTATAGGGGTAAACATAGCTGTTTCTGGTTACACAGAAGAAAGTGGAAAATTTTTTGTTGAAGATGTTTGCCACCCATTTGTAGCTAATCCCTTGAGTTATCCTGTTTTCACAGATGATAAGTATGATATTTTAAATATTTTAGAACTTGCATACTCAATTAGTTAATTGTTAAGTTACAAGTGATATATATTGTAATCTGAAAGGTTGATTTAAATTTTTCTTGAATTATTCATATGGATATCTTATCCTGAAATTTAAAGAGTTAAGTGAAATTCTCCAAAATTTTAATTTGTATATTCATTCTAATGTGCATCTATATACTGTATAGATCAGTGTATAAGTTGATTTTCAAACCCCCAAAATTGTACAAAAAGCAGGGAGTCGACTTATACACCAGTAATAAAGTTGGACATTCATTAATCGTGTAATTCCAATGATTTAAATCCAATTTAAAAAGTGAAATTTCAAAACTGAAGGAAAAAGGTAAAGAGGTAGACCAAACACCAGATGGCTTGATACAGTTCAGAAAACATTGCATGAAATTGGGGTCAATTGTTGGAAAACTGTGGCTGCAGATAATTTTCAATTGAACAAACTTGGTGACATCCTTGGTCTGTAACAAACTGTAGAGCTGCAAAACTAATAGAACAAAAATAGAAACACATTTTAAAAACATAACTTTAAATAAAATTACATATTGTTTCAGATAGCTCTCATAAATATTATTTGCATGATTTGTATCAAAGCATTAAAATAGTATTTATCAGAGATGATTGTGCTCTGGATCAATCAGGGAATTTATAAAGACATTAATTTTTTGAAAAGAGTCATTAATGATTTTACTCAAGAAATATTCAGGATTTTTGAGTTGGGCTCACAATCTTCCCTGATTTATATGATGAGATATTTAAAGTTGCAACTATAACAAAAAAATAAAATTGATAAAATTTTTGTTGCATGATATAATTTATTGCAACATATTATGAGCAATTACAATAAAAAACAAAGGTTATGTCTTGTATAATCATACAACACATCTGATAAGAATGAATGTTTTTCATATTAGTAGTAATTTTCAAGATACAAAGTAAGTAAAAATTATTCTCCCAGTTTCTTTGACACTCTTAACACTTGACATTGCTGTTACATGTATTCAACTACCCTTAGTTTTCCTAAAAAAGCTTAAACATTTTGTAATAAAGAGAAAATTTTCAGCAAAATTAAATTAAAATTTTATTCTTAAAAAAACTAAGTAATTATTCAACATGTGTACAAATTAACTTATACATAACATATTCGATAGGTAATCTATTTTACCTCAGAGTTCCCTAAAAAATATTTTTTTTCTGTAATTCAAATTGCAGAAAAAAATGTTTCTTAAGTCCATGCCCAAAAATCACATTTATGCAAACAACATGCAAATATCTATTCAATGGTGGTGCATCAGAAGAAAAGATGTCAAATTTTTTTTTATTCTCAAACAGCGGGATGTTATTTTATTTAATTATTGTTTTTATTACACAGAGTTGGGCAGATAAGACAAATCTGTCTTGCTTTATATATTGTATAATTTTGGTTAGTTTCAAATCGATATTATCTACAAAAATTACTTTTTCTCAATTCAGGTATGTGCTATTTATCTCTGGACTTTGTTTTTCAAATGCAAATGTCACTTTTCCCTTGCAAACTTTAATTGATTTAATTAATGGAAGCCTGGGAAGTTCTCCGGATCACGAAAAGTTTTCTAAACTTGTTCGAGTTATAATTGCTGGAAATAGTATTGGCCAAAGCTTGAAAGATGCCCATAAAGTAAGAATGAATTGATTTTTTTATTGTATTTTTCATTTCTCATATATTTTTAATTTTATTTATACATCAAAATTCTTTTTAGTTAATGTTTTGAAAGATTTTGGTTGATTAGTTTTTTTGCATAAAAGATTTCTTTAAGGTGAGAATTAATTCTCAAATTAGATCAGATCATCATTTTTAAAAGATGGCCAAAATAAATATGGAAATTTCTAAAAAAATTGTTAACAGTAATCTTTTTGTAATAGAGAATGTACTTTAATTTATCTGATTTATTATTATTTTTTTAAATTTAGATTAAGAGGCATTTAATACGAAAAAGAAACATTTTATTATCTGTCTATAAAAAATTTCTTTCTTTATACAATGGAGGAAAAAAAAAGAAATGCACTGATATACTTTGTTTTTTGGGGAAATGTTAAGATCTGTTTTATTCTTTTACATTAAGATGTAAAATTTGACATGGAAAGTTAAAAGTTTTCTTCTACTTCTATAAAAAACATAATTATTTAAATTTTAAAAATTAATGTCATTTGTATTTGTGAATTAAGTAGATTTGTAGTTGCGTATATGTTTAGTTTGTGATTTGTTTTAATGATTGTGGTAATAAAATTTGATTATGATATTGTAATAGTTCTTTATATAATTATAGGGAAAAAAATCATTACATTTATTTTTTTTTGCAATTTGTTGCTTTTCAGTTTTCATGTATTTAAAAATGTTGTTTTAATAAATTCGAAATTATTACTGTTTTTTTAAACTAGATTGCAATTACAACTGTTAAAAACTTGTTTTATTATTTGGTATTTATTTTTAAATATGAGTTTCTTCCACTTATGTTAGAAGAAACATAGTTCTACTAGGTAAATTTTTTCCATTTTAAATTTTTACCACTACGGAAGAAACTTTCCATCACTGGCTTACGGATTTAAAAAAGAAGATGGGTAATAAGTATTATAAAAGAAAAAAAAAATTAAAACAAAAAAAAAAAAAAAAAAAAAAAAAAAAAAAAAAAAAAAAAAAAAAAGGAACAAAAAAGAAAAAACAAACAAACTAAGCATTTTGAATAATGATTGATCTAATAATCAGATTTTCACATACTAGGACTCAAATTTAATGGTTCATAGGGATGACCTCAAATTTGCTAATTAATATGTGCAAACAACATTTTAAGTTGTATACATAAAAACATACTTTCAATAAATAATCATACCTTTTTTTTGGCCTTACCCACAAAATGTAGCAGGTCTGGTAAATATAGTCTCAATAGTTTGGTCAGAAGAGTGTTCTAAAGCTTGGATACCTGAAGGTTAATTTTATTTTTGCATATTTCAATATATCTCAAAAACTTATTAAGCAAAAAGAAATCATTTTGGCATATAGTTATAAAATTTGCTTATTCAAAGGTAATTCTACACAAAACATGTTTATAATTATTAGTTATTTTTTATTATTTCATATAATTATTTCATTAAAGTGTACTGATTTTTACCTCATTTTGATGAATGGAATTTTCTATGGCAAAATACAAAATTAAATCAAAATCGGTCTAATTTTTCCTGAGAAATCCAATTTTTAGATAGTTATGCATTTAAAATACAACAGAAACTATATGACTGATTTTGCCAAAATTTTTTATTTTGCTTTTTAAAATGATATTCTTTAAAGTGATTTTGAAATTTTTATAACTTAAAATTCGAAATTTCTTGGCTGTTATTAAATAAAGTAATATTAAATAAATATTTTCAAAATTATTTTGAAAAGTGGATTTTATAATTGTGTGCAAAAAATGTTCAATTGCTTAACAAGTATCTAAATCTATCTATCAATGTATCTAAATACGCAAACTTTAAAATTAACATTAAAAGTGTTCAAACTTTGAACTGAATAAACTATTGGGATCATATTTCCTAAATTGCCGCTGTCATGTATATTTTAAGGGTAAGAAATCTAAATCCATTGAAAAAAGATATGTTTTTGTATTTCATAACTTAAAATATTTTTTTTACAAACTAAATAGTATATCTGAGGTCATACTAATGAACCATTGAGTCATATTATGTGAAAATCTGATCATTAGATCACGAAATTAATCAAGGTGTTTTTTCCTTTTTTTTGCAATATGCAGTAAAAATTTATAAGAGTTCATTGTGTATATACTTTTTAAAGAACTTTCGTTTTTTTTTTTTTTAAATTTTAATTATTAAATAAATATCAAATGAAAAAGAAAAATTAATGGTTTGCTGCAAAGGATTGAATATAAGTTAAAACTAACAAATTTACATAAGTGAAAAAAACAAGTAAATATTTACGGTTAAATACTGACTAGTTAAAAGACTAACTAATAATAAGTAAAGATGCAATTGAAGAAATTTTAGATCATAAATATTTTACTCATGAAAAATTAGTTGTATTATTAATGGTTTATATCTTGAATTATAAAAGAAAATGTACTGATACCTGTATTAATTAAATATACTAATCTGTTTAATTTTTTCCATTTTAGACGAATATTTTAACCCGGAAATCTAAAGCATCAACAATTGAAAGTGTAAAGCTAATGGATGATTTTCTTGTTCAATTAGCTGTAAGTAATTTTTTACATGTAAAAATAATTTTATTGATTTTTGCCATTAAAAAACCCTTAGTTTTAGTAAAAAAAAAAAAAAATTATTGATAAAAGTTAATAGCATTAGAGCATTAATTAATTTCGGTTCACAGGGCTGATTGAGCTCCGGAAAAAATCCGGATTTCCGGAATTTTCGCTAACAGTGATCTGGAAGTTTCCGGAGATCGAAGATCCAGACGTTTAAAAAAATCATTGATCACAGAAGTTTCCGGAAATCAAAATTTCAAAGGTGGAACTTAAAAACACAGTTTATTTTATTCGTTTGTAAGGGAGAGCCACAGAGATACTTTATAAGCTTATATTCATGATTAATATTCATTTTTTATCAGTAAATAGTTATTATAATCATAAACTCAAGAAAGACGTATTTATAAATTTTAATTACTTCTCCAGGTCATCATAGGCATGTGTAAATGGTATAGGTATGAAATTTTAAATATATTTTAAGTAAACTAAGAAATTTTGAGAAAAAGGAAAAAAAAAACAGTGTTTAAATTTTTTTCCCATTGAAACTGTTTTTTTTTTTAAACTCAAGAAATTTTCCGGAATTTTGACTTGGGATCACAATCACCCCTGGGCTCAATTTCATATTTGGCCATTTTCAATGAAAATAATAAAATTAAAAAACCATTTTAAAAACCATGATTTAAGTTGACTTAAAAATGAAAATAATCTTTTTGTTTTTTCTAAAATGAAAAAGCAAAACATGGTGGTGATTGAATTTTACAAATTAAATGTTAATTTATGTTTAGGTTTGACAAAAATAAAAGTATTTTTAATTTTTTGTTTACATTGAGGTCTTTTCCCCATGGGCTTGGCAAAAAGGACTTTCTTACAGTAGAGATCTTCATGCATTCTTGCCAGATGGCTAGCCCATTTAGTTTGCTGTATTTTGACGAATTATAGAATCTCAGGTTCTTTAAAAATCATGTTAAGCTTTAAATTATTTCTTCTCTATGAATCGTATAACTAATCTCAACCAAGTATACTTTGCAAAAATTTTCTCTCAGAACTCCCTAGAGCCGCTGCATTGCATAAAGCCAATGACCAAGTCTCTGATGCATTTTTCAGGACAAATCTTATTGACTTTTGCAACGAAGCAGTTTAGTTCTCAGTTTTAAAAAAAATCGGAATTTAGACATTTCTTCTGGCTATGAGAACATCAATTTGTAAGTGTAATTCTTTTGTGTATTGTTGTGTCGTTTATTTCCACTCCAGAAACTGTAAAACTGTTAATCTTTTCAAATTTCTAAATCTCACTTTCTAAATGGGTAATTTGTGGATTGAACTAAAAACGAGGCATATAATTTGTTTTAATGACAAATTAATTTTTCTTGCATTTTGTTTCAAGTCTGTGAATACCTGTTTACTAGCCTGTAAGGCCCAGGCCACTAAACAGATGTCATTTACATTGACCAGAATAATAACTGACTTATTAAAAATAGTTCATTTGGTATTGATCCCTGAATCTTCTGTTACTTTTTCAAATTCTAAGTTAAATTTGAGACAAGCTAGTTGGTTTTCTGGTTGCACTCCATTCTTGACCTCATGCTGTTCAATGAAGTTATTTTGTATGCATATATGTTTCTGAATAAGGCTATAAGGACAAAAAATTTTTCTGAAATGTTTATTCATGAATTGCCTCTATAAGAAAATCTCTATTAATACAGTCATAAGCTATTCTGAAGTGGATTGAGAAAAAGATTATTTTGATTCCAAAATCACTACATTTTTCAAAAATCTGTTTTAGGTTGATAATTTGCCCTGTCAGTGATCTTTCCCTTCTAAATCTGCTCCGGTAATTGCTGATCATATTCTAGACATATGGTAGGAGTCTGTCAAAAAGGATAAGTAGAATTTTGAAAGATATGTAAAGAAGACTGATTCCACTTATAATTTTTTGTTTATTCTAAAAGAACATTTTTAACTTCGGCCATTTTATTCTATTTCAGGATCACAAATTTGAAATCTACAACTTTTAAAAAAATTACTCTTCGATTTGATAAATACTGTTATAAAATAACAGGGATCTGTCTAGGTTTTTTTGAGAGGTACCTATTTTGTGAAAATTTAGACATAATTTGTGAAAAATTAAAAAAATCAACGCAAAAACATTGTAAAAATATGGATACATCATTTCTTACGGGATGCAAAAATAAAATTTTAAGAAAAAAGATTTTGTGAAACTACCATTTTTCCTAAAGTTGAATTTGTGAAGGTACCACTAAACGGTAGTAAATTTGACCTGGACAGACCCCTGAATAAATACTCTCTAAAAATGAACATCCTAAATTTTAGCCATGGCTTGTCAAAAGAATTTAAATTGTAATACTTTTAGGACTGTATAATTAGGCTATTATACAAAAATAAATAAATAAATTTATATTGTTTATTTTGCACCCATTTCTTTATTTTTTTTCTTTGCATTTTTATCCCTGAAATTCTTATATTTATGTTTTTATTTAAGACATCTGTGGATGTTGATTTAATGCCCGGAGAATCAGATCCTACAAATCATTTAATGCCTCAACAGTCTTTCCATCCTTGTATGTTTCCCAGATCTTCTGCTTATTCTACTTTTCATGTTGTGACAAACCCATATGAAGCCTGTATAGATGGTGTCAAGTGAGGGACAAAATTTTTTTTTATTAATTCAGTTAAATAGTTTGAGGCATATTAATTTAGAATTATATAATTTTTTATTATTTTATTTTTTATATCTGTTCACAATATTTTCTTTCATTTTTTACTTTGTTGAGAGCAATATAAATAAAACCGCAAATAGATTATAATTTATTTAATTGAGCATTATAACGAGGTCAACTTACTTTAATCAGCACTAACTTTGAAAAGAATTATTATATAATTTTTTTAAGAGTGTGTTAGGATAAGTTAGAAGGATTTAAATATAGTTGTATTTTTTTTTATTATCTAGTTTTGTATAATTAACAGGTATTACACAGTAATTCAGATTGATACGAAAATGAGTCATGTTATATAAACATGAAATAAATAAAGTTTTTCATGTTTACGTCTGTCTTGTATCTGAATCTCTTATTGATTTAGAGAATATAAATGTAATTAAATATTTCCATAATTACTCAAAATTTTTGGTATTAGCATTGAAAATTACAGTTAAAATTTTAAAATGTTCAACGTAAAGAAATAATTTTTAAAACTACATTTTTTCAGTTAGGCTAAAGAGCAGAAAGTATTTAATTTTTGATACACCTAAAACAAAAAACATTGAACTCATCAGTTTCGAATGATGTGTAAGGATTTAAGGTGTTGATGAATGTATATTGCTAAAGTGACCTTACATTTTTGATTTTGATGTGGTAAAAATAGAGTTTTCTCTTATTTAATTTTCTTAAAAATATAGTTTTCAAATTTTTATTTTTGTTATAATTTCTTTTTATTTTGTGTCTTATTATATTTTTGTCAAAAAGTGTGCAAAATGCCAATTAACTATAAAATGGAGCTACATTTTGCTTGCAATGTTTTGGAAACAATTGTAATTTTGACTACTGTCATCAGCCCCTAAACTGCAGTTGCTATTTGAGCATTCTAGTTACTTAAAAAATAGTCAACATTTTAATTGACTATTAGAAACCTGCGAATTTTGCACATGGGCTGTTCTTTTAATGATGTAAAAAGATGTTTCTAACTGCCAGGAAACAATTTAAACTTATATTGTCATTTACTCCAGATTTCCAAATATAATTTGAGTGTCAACTAGTCGCCAGGTAGACACAATTTTATCTATGTGGATTGTGTCCTCATAAATGATGTCTACAGAGATTACAAAAATATGATTTTTTATACTTACAACACTAATGCATTTGAGATTAAATTATGAAAAGTGGTAAACAAATCTTGAATATTTAAAACTCAATTTATTTGTTTAACAAATTTATCTTATAAGATTAATTCTACACCCCTTTATTACTAATTCAACATGCTAACAGATGTGATATAATTAAATACACCTAATTAAAAAAATAGTTGTTTGTATTGTTCAGTATTGATTGATTTACTGTATTTATATGTTTTGTGATTTTCTAAATAAGTCACTTTTTCCATATTGTCTTGTTAAGACTCCTGGGAACTTCTGGCCAAAATATAAAAGATATCCAGTCTTATAGCAGTTTCTCAGATACTCTGGATATAATGCATAAGAATTTAGATTGGGGTCATTTACTACCTACAGCACCTGACACATTGAGTGAGTTTACAAATTTATATGATGTTATTAACTACACGATATGATACTGATTTACATGATATTGGTAGAGGTGTCAACTATTATGATTTATCTGTAATTATTACGATATCATAGCAGAGATTATGGTCTTATGATTGAGTAATTAAAATAAAGGTTTTTGAAAATTTTTAAAAGTAATAAACAAGGCAAAATAAACAAATAGCAAAAAGATCTAATTTCTCCCCTTCCAAAAAAAGACCATAAGGATTAGTTCCAATTTTACTGAAAACTAGAACATTAATTTCCAAGTAATCAACTTGAATCTGAGTAATTAATTGAATTTTATGATGAATTATAAAACTAGAAGAAGAAAAAAACGAATAAATCTAATTTCTCCCCATTCGTCAAGCTATTCTAAAACCGCCTTCTTTTATAGAAAAGCAAAAAAATGTGAACTCAAATCTGATATGCTGTGATAAAAATTTTTTAGTGGTTCAATTGCAGGATGATAAAAAAGACAATAAGGGTTAGTTGCAATTTTACTGAAAACTAGAATATTAATTTCCAAGTAATCAACTTGAATCTGAGTAATTAATTTAATTTTATAATGAATAATAAAATTTCAGTGTTGTGTAATTTTTTAGTACTTTTATCTAAGTGTTATTTTTTTATTTAAATAATAAATTCAGGTATAATTTCATTAATATTATGTAGCTATATAATATTAATGAAATTTATATTAAATAGGTGTATTATATACCTATATAGAATTAGGTAGTATATGCACCTTACAATTGTGCTAATCTGAATTTTCCTAAACACGGACTTTATAAATTTCTTTATTATTGTACATCTGCTTACTAATGGCTGATTTGGAAAATTGGCACTTCTGTAAAAGTAAGCATGAACTATGTATAAATTTTCTGCTTATCAGATTGATAGTTATTTTATTCTGATTAATAGATAAAAAATATGATTGTTGTTCTGATAATAATAATACACACTACATTAGGAATGATTCTAAAAACAAGCAATGGAAAAAACTACCTAATTTTTTTAATAATTATTATGACGTGTGTTATTATATTTATAATTATTATGTATTAAGGAGACTGATTTGCATAGTAATTACTGACACATGATCGGGATTGTTTTGATAGTTCTGCATAACATTTGCCCGATGATAAATGATTTTTGTTTTTTACAGGAGAAATATAAATTTATAAATCTACAAACTAACAGAAGAAATAATGTTTTGTGAAAACTTAATATTTTCTTACTGTTGAAATTGAATAATTAATAAATAGTTAAATACAAAACTTAAAATGTAGGAAAATTTTTATTAGTTATATATTGTTTAAATTTATATAAAAATTACATGTATATATATATATACATAAAATTATAAGAAAATGTTATTTAAAATTACAGATGACTTATGATATTCAAAGTTGCTCACTCTTCCAGTTTTTTTATGTACTGTTAATTATGTTGAAATAAATATTGAACTAATATAATTGAGGAGCTTTTTATTCTTAATTAGAATAATATTATTAATAATGGCTTTAATTGTTTCAGATTGTTATCCATTTCCTGACAAGGATCCTTTTATTATTACTGAATGTCCTCACATTTATTTTTCTGGGAATGCTTCCAAAATAGCAAAAAGGTCCTATGGTATGCATATGTATAGAGATTATTAATTAAATAACCATAATTCATACACATTTATTTTCATTAACTATGATTTAAGATTTGCTTCTTTTAGGATTTTGATTTGAAGATTAAAGCTATTAGCCACATTTATTTCATTGCATAATTTTAATTCATTTGATTATTTAATTTACCACTGGTATTTTATATAATTGCCACCTGCATTAATTCTTTTAAAATAATGTATGTATTTTAACAAAATATCAACGAAAAATTGATAAGTAGTTAATATATTACATTAACTGTGAGCAGAATTTAATATGTTTATAATGTATCCTATCATTCTTTATTGCAAATAATACAGATAACCAAAGCAGGCATTTTAATATTGTTACCAAGAGTAGAATTTTTCTAATCATCTTGTGATAATCTGCAACCATAAATTCGCATTTGGCAACAAAACTGTTGATATTTTTTAATCTTTTTTTAATTAATGCTTCATTGTAGACATTTATTTTTGCCAGCTTTTGTCTATTCTATTTTTAGATGGGGAAATTAAAACTATATTTTTTAATGAAAAGAAAATATATATTTCTTATTTGAATTAAATTTTTGTGAATATCTTTTTATATTGAATATATATCGAACTTTGAATGTTTTAAATTTATTAAATCTTTAGTTATATTTCTTAAAGTTTAAATTTATGTGACTGATTCTCTATTTTTATGTTCTTAATTTTTCTATTCTGTTCAAGATTTTATGTTTCACCTAAAAAAATTATGAGAAAATGCATTGATTAGAATACAATAACATAAAATTGTTTCTTTAAATTCATGGCATTTAAGTACTAAAGTATGATATAATATCCACATATATTATTTTATATTACACAAATGATAAAAAAAATCATACTTTTATATAAATGTGTTCTGATAGAAAGTACAAGAAATAAGAAAAGCACCTTATGTTGGTCACTTAACAATTTTTTATCACTGACTTTTGTATTGTTTTTTTAAAAAAACTTTTGTACTTTTTTGTTAATAGTTAGTAATCCTGATAATATTTGAAAAGTTTTAAGATTTTAATTTACTTTTTAAAATATAAAAGGATGATTAAATTTTATTTTTCTCACTAGTCAAAATTTCATTTAAAATGTAACGTGTATTTTAATCATTGACTTTTACTTGAATTAATTTTTTCTTAAACTCTGTGGGTTTAAACCATGGTTTAAATCGCTCATTTTAATCATTTTATTCAAATCATTGAGTCCTGATTGTTACTTTTTTAAAAAACATTTTTACATAATTATACTTTTTAAAAAAGTCTAAATCCTCCAGTAAATGCATACAGTTTTAAATTTTTTGATTAAAATGAGTATTTTGAATTAAGAAATATTTCTAAGAAATATTACATTAATTATAATTGAGAAATTTCTTAAAATCTCAATTTTCATTCATTTTAATTTGAAAATAATAAAATTAATTGAATTTTTTAAAATTTTTTTTTTAAAGTTTTATATATTCTGTAAAGAGTTTTTAGTATTAACTTGCTACTTCCACCTAATATTTTTAGGGTAACACTTAGCCATCATCATGACTTTGGTCATGAAATTCTAGAACTTTAACCTCTATCACCCTCTTGGTTCACAATTTAATTTTTTATTTGACAAGTAAATATCATATTTTTATCTGTTTTCAGTTCACACTCACCTAAAGTTGTCCATCATTACTAAATATCTGAATCGAATTTAATGTATTTTTTTCTTCTGAGTAAATACATTTTTTATTTTCAGCAAGTACCAGATACATGTTTGTACTTATATTGATCTATCCAAATTAATCTATAATTCTTTGGTCAAAGTTTTCACCAATTGTCTAAATATATGATTTTTTTTGCAGCAATTTTGTTAAATTTTTTTTGTTGTTGTTCACAAACAGACTAAGGTAATTTTATGAATATATCTTGTCGAACATCACAAACTTTGATTATACAATTTTTTTTTTAATTTTACAAAAAAACTGAAAATCCACATTCTGCTCTACTGATAATAGTTAAAATCTTTTAGCCAAATCGAAGTACCTCTTGATTTTATAAATATTTTTCATTGCGAGAAAAAACTTTCTAATTTCCGACGAATTAAAAATTCTATTTTAATTTTCAGTTTTTAAACACATTTTTTCTAATAATTTTATGAACCATTTCTTGAAGCCTAAATAAAAAATAAATAATTATTGTGTTTGAAAAGGTTGTTGAAAAAGTAGACATGCAAAGTATGTTACCTTAAATAAGGAAAGAATGTCTGCTTATAAGACTGGAAGGAAAGGAAGTTGTTAATTGAATTATGTTTATGTTTAATGAATTATGTTTATAATTAATGAATTATACTTATGTGGACAAAAACGTTGTATAAGTGGTGATTTGAGAGAATTATAAATATTAAAAGAGGTTACAGCATGAGGAGTTATCAAAAAAGAAAAAAGGGAAAAAAAAAGAATTTTAGCAAAATATAAAATCAAATAACGAAGCAAACCTATTCACATTGTTTAAAGAAACTTTTTTTTTAACCCTGACAGAGATTTTTTATTAAACATATTTTTCTTACTTTCTGCGTTTTTTGTATTAATTTAGATCAAAATGTGTAAAAAATGTTATATATATAGTATTTTAATATTTTATTATTATAAAATACAGCATGGAACACTGGCACTTTTTTCTGTGTTAAAGTCAAAATCATTCAAATATAGCTGAATAATTTTTAAAATTGCTCTTATTTTCAGTTATTTAGATCTAAGAGAAACAGTTATTCATTATTGAATTGTCTTAAATTTACAAAATCGATTATTGATGAAATTTTAAATATAAATGAAAAAAACAATTTCACACTATATATATACACTGGTGGACAAAATTAAGAGATGGAAGACATTTTCCCAAATATCTTAAAAAATACTGAATATAAATAAATGAAATTTGGTATGGATATAGCTTATTCCATGATAATAAAGTATGCAAAATAAAAATGAAAGTGCCATTCACTGGCAAGACCTATTGCCAATAAATACAATGTAGTCTGAACTTAAGGATAAAAGATGACAATAAAAGTGAGGCTTGTACAGTGTGTGTTGCCTCTAGTATGGTGTATGGTCACCCCTGACAGACAGACAGCATGCTGTTAATAAGGGAGTTAAGGAGGACTTGTGGAAGACCCTCTCATTCTTCCACCAGAGCAATTTTTAACTGCAGAATGGTTCTAGGGGGAGGTTGGCGCATCGCAATAGCTCTCCCAAGAGCATCCCAAGCATGTTCAATAGGATTCAGGTCAGGGGATTTGGTTGGCCAATCCATTTGTTGGATATCCTCGCTCTCCAGATACTCATCAACCATGAGAGCCCTACGTGGTCGCACATTGTAGTCCATAAAAATGAACTCGGGGCCAACAGCGCCCCTGAAAAGACGCACATAGAGCTCTAGGACCACCTGCCTGTACCTCTGGGCTTTCACGGAACCATTGTCAAACACAATGAGCGATGTGCGGGTATCTTGCATGTGCGAATGAATGTGCGAAAATGCTTTGCATCTCTTAATTTTGTCCACCAGTGTATATCACTTTATTTATATATAATGAAGAGAAATATACATATTTCTATATTTTTGCTTGTTATTAGGCTGTTAAATTTTTTTATTTATAAATGGGACAGTGGTGTCCTATCGGTGTTAAAGGGTTAAAGTGATGTATATTATATAACTTTTAAAAGTATCAGTATAATAGTTTTGACTAAATTGTTAAAAATATTTAATATTTGATTAAAATGTTTCATTTTTGATTTCTAAAATTTTTCATATTACAAAATTTTTAGTGGTTCCTTTTAGGTTCATACTAATAAGATTTGACTGTATTTTTTTTACAAGTTCCTTATACAAAACAAAAAAATATTAACTTGATGATAGTTCTTAATATTTAAAATCTTTTCTCTTACTCTTTTGGAAATTTACAAAGTACTGAATTAAGCCCTTAAATTTAGGCATGATTTCAAAAAAAAACAAAAACAAAAAGCATAGATAATTTTTTTTTTTTTAATGTAAAGAAAACTTTGAGCAATTTTTCAATGTGTCATATAAGGGATACCTAATAATAGTAGTACCATATGATAGTAAAAATAATTTTCCAATTCTCATCCAATTAAATTACTACACACTTTATGGTCAAAGTAGTATTTTTTTATCAATGATGCATCTTCCATCATTTCTTATAATTGTTGAGAAACAAGAGTTGTTTTCAAATTAGACACATATTGTGAATATGGGTCAGGGGATTATCTATTTATTGCCTGCAGTGTTTAGTGATATGTGGTAAGAAAGATGCCCTTTCGAGTGTTCAAATCTGAAAAATTAGTTCAGATTTCAATGTGTGGGTTTTCTCCACAATTATTTGTTTGTCACATTACTCTGTCATCTCATTGAGCATGTAACAATCAATTTTTTTTTATGCTATTCAAAGACAAATCGATAGAACTCAAAACTTTCGTAGTCTTCTCTATATGAATGAATGTTATTAGTAATGCCAATATTTTCATTTATTTTGTGTTTTTTTCCCTTCTAGATGATAAGAATGTGATGATGATATCTATTCCCAAGTTTGTAGATACATTTTCTTGTTTGCTTTTAAACTTAAAGACTTTAGAAGTAGAACCACTGGTAGTTGGAGAAATGGCTTTGTAATTCTAGAAAATGTTTGAAGTTTTTGTAACTTATATTTATATATTTGCTTTTTTAATAAACATGTTATTGTAGTGTTATATGTCGCCTGATTAAGTCATTATGTTTCTGTGTGTCTAGATTGTATTGCTGATTGATTGTATTTAATTAAATGCTTTCAACTTTTCAGATAAACTTTTTCTTATCAAGTTAATATCTTTCATACTATTGCATCATCGATAAATGCAACTCTCATGTTAAAATTGTAAGATATATGTTTTGGGAAAATTTCTTTTCACCGCTGAACTGAACTATTGAAAGAGTTGTACTTATATGTAAATTTTAATTTTTTTTTATTATTCATAATTTGTAAGCATATTTATTCATGGTTCAGACTATTGAGTCAAGTTTATTCGATAAAAATTGACATAGTAGTACCTTTTTAATTCTGTTTCAGAATAATACCTATTCTGAAATGGAGTCAATAGGTATTATCCTACATTTTTGACATTGAAAGGGTTTTATGGACCAAGAACCAATTTTTCTGTTTAAGTAATGATAGCAATTTATTTATGATAACAGTATAACATCTAACTTCAGAAGCCATTATTTCAAAAAAATATTTTTTGTAGTTGTTGACGCATATTTCAGAGATTTTATTTATCCAGTTTATCTCATTTTTATGTCTTTATGTTCAGTAAGATTTGTTTTAGTTCCTAATTACAAATTTTTTTCCAATTTAAATGTGATTTTTTATTGTCAACTGAAACTTTTTAAGTGAATAATGGTTATTGTAATTTTGAGAGGTCACCATTTTGTTAATGATTTTTGTCTCTAATCAAGCAGTTTAGTACCAGTTTTTATTATCTTTAACAAATACTATTTAGAAATATTGATTTTAGAACATTTTTCTGACCCCAGGACTAGTCACCTCAAGCCGCAATTTAAATTGATTTCACCTGAAAATAAGTAGTCCACTTTTTTTTCTAGACAGGGTGGCCATCTACTTGGAAAACCCAGGAATTATCAGGGATTTTTTTTATTCTGGAAAATTCTAGGAAATTTGGATAAAAACTTGGAAAAATCTGGAAATTTCAACTAAAAAAAAAAAAAACTAGAAATTGTTTTGTTTTGATGTTTTGTTTGTTGTTCTTAATTTCACTATCTTATCATCCATTATACGCACTTTTTTAGGCAGAAAATTATTGCCAAAAAGTCGAAATATTGCTGACTTTGCAATATTTTGCTATAATCAAAACTTATAATCCCTGTTAGTGAAATTAAAATTAATTATCATAACACCAACTTTACTGGATTTTCTAGTAGACTATTAGATTTTGCCAGTTTCTCCTGGCGTTTGCACATTTTAGAAATTTCCCTGAAATTGGGCAGGTTTCCTAAAAAAATCCCTATTGAAATAGAATTTCTGAACAGATTATTGCTTGCTTGAATATTTAAATAAGTATTACTAGTACAGAATGAAACGAACCTCATTTATAGAAATCAGTTCAAAACTTTTTTTGTTCTAAAATGTTCAGTTTATTTTTATTCAGCTCTTTTTAAATTAATTTAAAAAAATCTTTTACTTATCTTCAATGATCTAAATGCCTATTTATATTGGAAATTATGAGTAAACATAATACGTTGTAACATTTCAAGTATGTTTAATGTCAATCATAACTGGAAACTATTGCAGTTTTTCTATTTTGATGACCATAAAAATCCCTAAAATTCCCTATGTATAACATATTCAGTACATTATGCAACAATTATCATGGAATTTATATTATTTTGTAAAATCTACTGGATTTTTTTCTATCCATTTTGGCAGCTATGAATTATGAATACATAAACCCTAATCATAACCCTGTTAAACTAGGTAAGAACATTTTAGAAAAAACATTAAGTTCATGAATTTTTCCTAATTTTCAAAGTATATATTTTCACTCATTATATGTTGCATTAGAACAATTGAAGTTACACCTTGAATTCCACCTACACGCTATCCAGCAAACCATCCAATTTTTTGTAATGGATTTTACATTAGATTTGAAGCTTGTTACTAAGATTTTTAATGGAGTAGTATTCATTGGCTTACTGAATTATTAAGGTTTCTTTTTTATGCTTAGACTTAGAGGTTGGGCAGCTCTGACGAGCAGGGCACATCGACCAGAGGTCTATTGTACCTAAACCCTAGTCGTGATTAGCAAGAAAGCCCTATGGCTGAAATTAAGTTCAGCAAGCACCTTACAGGAACATCTTGCAGTTCCCAGGCATTGATGCAATGCTGCCCTAGATGCTCAAATCTTTGAGCAGAATAGACATCACAATCACAAAGTATGTGTCGTGATGTCTCTTCTTCTAGATGACATCACCGACAAAGAGAATTGGATATTGGATTCTATTCCTATAATGTTTAGGTGTCTCCTGATAATACAGTGACCAGTAAGAAGACATATGATTTTCCTTATACTGTATCTATTAAGCTTTAAGAGCTCCTTTTCACGTACACTAGGACAGTCTCGATTCAGCTCCTTAGCTTGTCTCTGACCGTCAGCAGCGCGCCATTTGCTCATGGGCAATCTTGCCGAAGAGCTTGAAAATGGTTTCCCTAAATGAGGAGGGAGAAATTCCCAGCGCAGGTTCAGGGCCCCAGAAAATTGCATTAGAGCCAGCCCGTGCTGCTTCATCAGCTAGCTCATTTCCACCAATACCCATATGTCCAGGTACCCAATGCACGGATTCCTTGTTATGAGCGGACAGGTCATAGAGGACCGAGAAGCATTCCCACACTAACAAAGAGGTGAATTTACACCTTGACAGTGATAGGAGAGCAGCCTGACTGTCAGAACAGATGCGGATAGTCATATTTTGATATCCCTTGTCTAAGTATAACTTGCAGCACAAGATAATGGCATAGACCTCAGCCTGAAAAACGATGGTATAGTTTCCCCGGAGAAAGTGAAGTTTGGTACCGTCGTTGGAGCAATAAACTCCTGCTCCTGATTTGGCACCAATCTTTGAACCATCAGTGTACCATATTAGGCATTTGCCTTTAAGCCACCGAGGAGAATTAAACCATTCATCTCCAGTAGGAAAATGGATCTTGAAGGGCTTGTGAAGAGCGTATCTTAGTGCAGGGCTGATTGTGCTCCGGAAAAAATCCGGATTTCCGGATTTTTCGCTAGCAGTGATTCGGAAGTTTCCGGAGATCGAAGGTCCAGACGTTTTAAAAAATCATTGATCGCAGAAGTTTCCGAAAATCAAATTTTCAAAGGTGGAACTTAAAAACACAAGTTATTTGTTTGTAAGGGAGAGCCAGATACTTTATAAGCTTATATTCATGATTAATATTCATTTTTTATCAGTAAATAGTTGTTATAATCATTAACTCAAGAAAGAAAGACATATTTATAAATTTTAATTACTTCTCCAGGTCATCATAGGTATATGTAAATGGTATAGGTATGTGTAAAATTTTAAATATATTTTAAGTAAACCAAGAAATATTGAGAAAAAGGGAAAAAAAACTTGCTTAAATTTTTTTCTAATTTTTCAATTTAAACTTTTTTTTTTTTTTTTTTTAGCAAGAAATTTTCCGGAATTTTGACTTGGGCTCACAATCACCCCTGTTAGTGACATATAGTCACTAGGCATAATAAAAGAGGGTAAATTCATCACTTGTGAAACAAGATGTCCCCATGAAAAGTGCTTGGAATACTCTTTCCATGGGCCAAGGTGCATAAGACGCTTTACGCTTGTCTGAGCTTCAACTTCAATGCGTAAGTTCAATGGAAGAAGCCCAAGTAAGCTCTCTAGAGCAGCTGTAGGAGTGGTCCTGAGACAGCCTGACTGGGCTACACAGATCATTCTTTGTAGTCTGTTAAGATTAGACCTTGCGGAGCTCAATCTAGTCCTTGACCACCAGACGATTGCGCCATAAGTGATGATAGGACTAATAATCATTGAGTATGTCCAGTAAACTATTTTGGGGGACAGTCCCCAGGTTCTACCAATAGCATTTCTGCAAGACCAGAAAATCTTTCTGGCCCTATTGGTACAGTATTCAAGTTGATGACCCCAATTTAGTTTGGAGTCAAAATAAACCCCGAGAAACTTGACTTTCTCCGTGAGTTCCAATTTATGGCCCAGGTAGTATACATTACCTAGATCAAGTTGCCTTTTTCGTGTGAAGGCTACATAGCTTATCTTGGATGGATTGACAGGTAAGCCTGATTCAGAGCACAATCTAGCTACTTCTAGAAGTGCATTATTCATGATGTCAGAGACTGTTTTTCCATGCTTGCCTCTGACAACAATAACACCGTCATCAGCGTACCCGATACAGGGAATGCCAAGAGTAGTTAACCGAACAAACAAGGAGTCCATTACCATACACCATAGGATAGGTGACAGAACCCCTCCCTGGGGGCATCATGCGGTTGCATGCACTTTCATGCTTGCACCCAATAGAGAGGAACAAACATACCTAGAGGATAGCAAATTCGCTATCCACCTGGTAATTATTGAGTTAATGCCTCTGTTCCTAAGAGCATTGATGATAGTCTCAAGAGGGACTTTATCAAACGCACGTTCAATATCAATGAATACCGCAAAAGCCATCTCCTTATCTGTGATAGATTTCTCAAGCAGGTAGAAGAGCTCATACAGAGCGGTGTCTGTAGACTTGCCTGGTTGATAGGCATGCTGTGTGGAGGACAGTGACCTTTCCATGAGCACAGTGTTTTTGAAGTGTCTGTCAATTAGCTTTTCGATCGCTTTCAACAGACACGAAGTGAGGCTGATTGGTCTGATTGATTTAGCCTCAAAGTAATTCTCCTTATCTGGTTTTGGTATGAATATCACCCTGGTATTCCTCCAAGAGAGAGGTATATACCCAAATGCTATACAGGATACATAGAATAGGGGCCACTATATTCAACCCCTGGATAAGCATCATTGGTATGATGTCATCCATGCCTGGTGACTTGTAGGGCTTAAACGACTTTATTGCCCATACAACCTTCTCATAGGAGACCACCATCTTGGCGGCCTCCCAGTCATTCCTACTACAAGTAGTTGTGGTAATAATATGTAGATT